AAAACGAAAAAGTATTTTTTTTATCTAGTTCCTAGTGCAAAAAATACTAGAAGTAATTTTTTAATCCAATAAAGGCCAAAAAAATTCTTAAAATTAATTTTAAAAGTACTAGTTCCATTGGCAGATTATTTCTCTTATAACAAAACTTTTATCCAATGTTTAATTGAAATAATCTGCAAGTGGAATGATTACTGTTCCATCAATATTACGGAATTATTAACTCCAATATCTTGCTGAAAAATTACTTGTAAGTTGGCTTTGTTTTATTTCAAGTGTTCAAAAATAGCTTGGTAAGGTTTTGTACTTTTGCAGTGAAGAAAGTGTTAAAACTTTTCCCCACTGAACCAGGATGAAAGAAACAGAACTTGTCTGTACATAAAAGCGTATTATTATTATTATTATTATTATTATTATTATTATTATTATTATTATTATTATTATTATTATTATTATCCTTTCTATCCTCCAGGGGCCGCGGCTACCGACTCACTGTCACCAGCTGAGCAGCAGCATCCACTTGTCAGACTCGGTCCTTTCTGGCGTCTCGAACCAACACAGCGCGGTACAGCTATGACCTCACACAGCCGTCCAGCCAATCACAGAGCTGGGTATTTTTTATCGCTAACCGTGATTGGTTCTCTGCAGTGCCGTTGGTCGTCGCTGGTGGTGTACGAGTGTCTGAGAGAGGCGAATCTTCTGTTCACCGAGTATGATGTACCGGAAGGGGAGGGCGGACTCTCATGGTCCCAGCAGAAACTAGAAGATTACCAGAACCTGCAGTACCGTCTGGTGGAGGAACATCAGTGTGTGAGTACCACTCAGCGCAGACTGGACCCAAGGAAACCAGATCTGGGGTTCAGTTTCACTCATAAGCAATGGGGTTTTCTCTCCTCAGCTCAACACCACGGAGGCTTCGGCGGTTTTGTCGCCATTTTTCCGAAACGTCACGGCTGTTGTTGAGAAGCAGGTAAGCAAACATCCAGTTTCTAGAGTTCCTAAGAAACTCTAGAAACAGGCGATTCGGGTCAGGCGATTATTTAGAGAAAAGATAGAACTAAAGCAGCTGGTTCTGAAACTGATGGACGTGATTATTCTGGAGTTAGCATTAGCATTAGCATGAGCCCAATTGGCAATGGGGCAGATGCAGATTATACTCAAGAGACAGTAGCAATGCTTTAACATGTTTTTACTCAAGTAAAAATAAAAAGGAGCCATCCAAGAAATGACTCTAGATTTAAAAAGTATTTGGTAAAAAGTCAAATCCAATTCTCAACCAGTTAATATCTGAAATTTACATCCTCAGACTGACCAAAATGTAAAGTTAAGAGGAAATGTTTCTATTTTAAGGATGAAAATGAAAATTATTTATATAAGTAACAAAATAAATATAAAAAAATCAAACAAAAGAAAATGTTTCCAAATCATTTTTCTTTGAATAAAAAAACTTTGGAAACTTTTAAGTGTCTGGTGAACTTTTGGTTAAAACATGTTTGTTTTTTAATTTTACTGAAGTAAGAGTAGAGATACTTCAAAATAAGCCTGCTAAAGTAAAAGGTACAGAGTAATAAAATACTCCAAAAATGTCACTCAGGTAAATGTAATTGATTAAATGTAGCTGGTTAGTATCCAGCTCTGGGCAGATGGTACTGAAACTGATAGTTCTGGAGCAGGATTCTGGTTAGTTTGGGTTATTTTTCTGGAACTGTGAATCTAAAAGGTTTCTGCGTGTCCTGCAGGACGGTTCTGCTTGCGGTTGGGAGATTCTGAGGAGCGATCTGCTCCAGGTTCTGAAGTTGGCGCTGCACAAACACCACGGCTGCTTCAACTGGACCAGAGCCCACTAGAGACCTGCAGTCCAACCTTCCTCACTCACTTCTGTTTACATATTTTTCCAAGTATTTTATGTCACATTATTTATTTAAGTTAATTAATTAATTTATTTATTTATTGTTTGCAAAAAGGAAATTATTTTTACATCATTGTGCCAAAAAAGTATTTTCTACGTTTTATAATTGTTCAGTTGTTTAATAAAGCATCAAAAAAGAAAAAAAGTTTCTGTTTTACTGTAAAAACCAAACAGTTAAAAAAAATCAGGTCTGACATGGCTTTTAAACTGCAGATTAATTAATAATGTGATACATTTCTGATTAGAGCTGCACTATGTGCACTGTAAAACTAAAACCATATCTCATATGATAAAATACCAGCAACTCTGACTGCCAGACTTTTACCATAATTATACGGTACCAGTACCATACATGCACAGTAAAAAACTATCATAAATAGTAAAATTTTATACAGCTTTTTTTAATATAGTGTAACTTTGAAAAGAAAATATTTTTTTTACATATTTTATTGAAACCATCGCCATTTCATGACAGTTTAGTCTGAGACATGATCTGAAAATATCGATCGCTGCTTTCTCCCACCAATCAGAGCCAGGAGGCGGGTCTTAGCGCTGTCAATCACCCTCCATGTGGTGCAGATTCCAATCAGCAAACAGAAGGAGAAGTGAACAATGCTCTCGGTTTTTAGATTTGTAATCTCCTTGTGGTTTTAGTAATGGCAGCAGAAGAAGTAAACAAACCTGTTCAGTCCCGTTGGCCACGCCTCCAGAAGTTGAATTACCATTAACAACTTCCTTGTTTGGATCAGTAAATAAGCTCATACGCTCTGGAGGGGAGCTGTGAGGGAACCTTCTGATAGTTGGCCGAGCACTAAGCCTTGAGGAACCACACATGTGATGTTTGGTCAGAGTTTTGATTTTCAGATGATTTTCAGTCCCTATCTGCCTGAGGATTGAGTTTAACTCAACAGCAGAAATTCCCACCAACGTTTCCAACCTATTAGTCAGAATGTTCTGACCAACGGCGCTCAGAACCAGCAGAACCGCCTCTGTTTAAACCATCTGACCTGTTGAGGTAATGTGGTTCACTGGGAAACACTGAGGTTTATTAACGTCATAGCCACCTCACTGAAGCGCAGGTGTATTTTCATTAAAGATCACAGTGCAGCAATGTGGTCGACCACGGACCAACCAGAACCCAGATAAAATGAGTTTCTGACTGTCGTTGTCCCAGATTAAATTTGTTGGGCACTATGAAAATTGTGCCACACCTTTAAAAGAGGAGAAATCACATAAGGATTAATCTTTTCCATATATATAAACAAACCCTAATCCAGGTTTCACTAATAATAACAATAATAATAATGTGTCCACCGTGCATTTATCATTGATGTGTTAATGTAGGCAGGTTTGGAAAGTCATCAGAGATGTTTCATCTTTCCGATTCAGATTCAATCTTTCTAGGATTTCCATCCAGTTGTGATGCAAAATAACAGAAAAATAAAATGTGAATTAGGCGTATTTACATCCACTGGTTTGAAACAAATCAATCAGGCCACGAAAAGTGTAACTTCACCAGATGTTGACATTATGGAAAACTGAAAAACAAAAAACATGTGAGATGTAGAAGCATTTCTGAGTTTCATGCCTCTTGTAAGGCATAAACCCACCAGTGGACGAGAGCGTGCCCCCCAGAAAAATTACAATCAAAATCAAATCTTGAATCGATATGAGATACAGAAAAATGAAATGTTACCCCCATTTCATGTGTGTAATAATGTCTTCTATTTTTTTTTTGCATTAGTAAAACAACCAGAATGTAAACAGTCTGGGTCGGCAGCGACTCACTCACATTACTCCTGTTTTTGGGGAAAACTTTCCCGCTGAATCATCAACTTCAGCCCAGAGGTGAATCATGCAGCTGATAGACGTCCTCACCTTCTGCAGGTATGTTTATCAAAGAAGTAACTTGAACTCAGATGGAGGGTTCATAACTGATGCTGACCTGCAGTAGCTCCCTCTGCTCCCCGCTAGCTCTTATTTAAAGGTTTGAGTGCAAATGAGTACAATGAGGTGCAAACCTCAGCTGGCATTATATGAATGATACATGAAGCAATAAACCTTGGCTTGGGTTGCTGAATCTCCTTCTGACCAACACCAACGCTACATCGACATCAGATCTGATGATAATTTTTTTGTTCAAACAAATAATGAAAAGCAACTGGAATCAGACCCCAACGCTGCTTCCTGCAGTTGAGTTACATCAAAGTTTACATTTAATTCCCATGTCTTTATTTATTTCAAACAGAAACGAAAAAAAACCCTGAAAAAAAATGATGAGAAAAAATGTCATAATAACTGATGTGCAATTTTACACAATTTTATTTCTTGCCTTTTTTATACACTTTAACATAAAACTGTTAAAATCTTCCCACATTAAATGATGCTTTCAATTTACATCTTCATCATTTAATGTACAATTATTTACATATTATGATCAATAATAGCATTTTTGTTATTTGAGACATCCATCCTATGCAACATAATATCCAAAAAGCTCCTTTTTCTTTCCTTTTTCTTTTTACAGATTTTAAGCTGGTTCATATTTGTACTTTGTTTGAACTCATCATTTCATCTATTCCATAAATCTTCCCCACAATATGATATACAAAAACTCTTTTTTTGGTTGTTCTTGTATAATGATTTTTAAATTAGAATTTCCTTCTTTTTTCAAATAATAACGCCTCTTTATGACACCAAACAATTTTTGGAAAATTGTGTGGATGTTGATGTTTTCTTACTTTGAATATAAATTGCACAATTTAGAATTTCTAACATATTGGATTTGTCTGTTCATTACAATATGCCTCTTGAAAGCAGTCTGTTTTCTTATGTTTGTTTTGTATATGTTGCCCCATCTTCCACACAATAACCCAAATACAGTACATCGAGAGTATTATATAAAAGCTTTCTCAGTTTTGGAGCCTGGAGGCTTTAACTAGGTGAATCTAAAGTCTGACTCTGAGTCACAGAATAATAAATCCATAAATAGGTGCAGATCCAGAATTCCTCTTAATCCTGCATGTCGCAGCACGTTCAGGGAAACGATGAGTAAACAATAAATCAGTTTTACTGCACCGACCGCACACTGAGCTCTTGAAAAGCTGAAACACACAGCTCATAAATTAATAGCAGTTTATTATAACAGAATTCAGCACCATAAATACAAAGAAGTCACTGACCAGCAGGAGGCGCTGTGCCTCACAGCAATTCAGTTGCACAAAGAAAATGCTCCAAACATTTCAACACATTATTCTTTCAAGGTTCTTCAAAGCAAAACAAAACCATAAATTTCTAAAAGAAAACTAACATTTTCCACCTAAGAGGTCAGTAATGTCCACTGTTTATTGATCTCACACGGCCACATGTGGTGTAAAATACCTGCAGATTTCCACTTTTATAAGAACAAACTGAAAGACCAGAACTTTTACTGTTCTGGGTTTTGATTGGCTGTGGAGACAGAAGCCACACCTTTAAGCTGAGTGGCATCATCAAACTAAACAGTTTATGTCCCATTCCTAATCGCACCAGGACTACATTTCCTGACTTTCACATTAATTCCCTCCAAAATTTAAGCCCCGCCTCTACATCGGGATGTGGGCGGGGCTTTACTCGTATGTGGGCGGAGCCTCCACCGGCTCCTGTAGCTCTGGATCAACATAGTCCTGGTTGAAGATGACGGTATCTGCTCCCTGTTTGAACCGGAGGACGGCCAGCAGAGACTGGAGCGCCTGCAGGCACACAGAACGACACAGGGTCAAGTATGAACAACGCCGAGGAAACACGGGAAGAAAACAGACAAATTGTTAAAAGGTCTGAAAATATTAATAGCATGACCGTAAGTAGTAATGAACATTTGAGAAACAACACAAGACACAGCATGTTTTACTGTCACATGCTAACAGTTAGACATGTTAGCATGTGACAATAAAACATCAACATGTTGTATAGCAAGAGCATAACAAGACAGAGTCAGTACATAGATGATGTTCACATGCTAGAACATAAGAAAATGATTGAACATTAAACAGGAGCAACATTATGACCAAAACATCATAGCATGGACATGTAGTATGCTAACATGTCTGAGCATGCAGGAGGTGAAGAATGTTAACATGTTAGGAAAAACATTTAAAAGGCATAATTATGCAGGACATTAAAGGGGCAGTAAAATGGCACAGATGCCTGTACAGCAGTCAGGTAACCATGTTGTATATATCAAATATGTCTGAAAAGAAATTTGGCTGTGTAATTTAACTTCTTAAAATTGGGCCTCTGCCTTTTTAAAAAGTCCTCTTCTTTCTGAAACTCATTTTCTGTTATGTCTTCAACAGAGTTTTACCACCTTTGCTCTGAGAAGTTGCACAGTCCTACCAGGTGTTTGCTAATTGCTCCTGGCTAGTCTGAAGGAGCTGATTGGGAGTAGGCTGCTCTGTGAGATGGAAGCTCTTGGAAACTGCAGCCCTGAGGAGGAGATGCGCCTTGAAGGCGGGGCTAGGTCCAGCCAGGCATTTTGCACAACTGGATGGTTGCCATGGAGATTAAATAATTTATGAAACATACATTGCAGAATCAAGGCAAAACTCCAGATATATTGTTGATGAGGGAAAAGCATTATAACATCATGTAAAGCTAAAAAAAAGTCACATTTACATAATGCAGCCCTTTTCATGTCTCATAAAGAATTCATGAAGACGTGAAACACATCAGAAAAACATGAAGCAAATTAATATAATTAAAAGCAACACAGACTCTGTTAGCATGTCACAGACAACATGTTACAGGTGTGGCTTACTCTCACAGCTGATCAGAACATGGCAGCACTTCCTGTTGGCCCCAGGAAACCAGAGTGAAACCAGAAGCAGGGTTTATAATTTAGGTCATGTGGTTCATGAAACATCTTCATACCAGCAACAAATACGACACAAGTGTTTTAACACTGTTAATGCAATAACAACAACAGTAGTAAATGTGATTAAAAAATACAAATTTAAAAAATGAGAGGAACCGCTGCCATAGAGGTAAAGAGTTTAGAGTGAAAATATTAAAGGATGATTTGAAATAAGAGGAAGGTTTTAATAAGGAAGACCAACCACTAAAAAGTAGAGGAGAAAATTAGGGCTGGGCTATTAATGTGTTAATTCTCATCAATTAATTACATAGGTTTTAACTCGTTAATGTTTTTACCTCAATTCATCACATTTTTCTTTTTTACATACCATAGTCCACAGACCGAAACCTTTGTGTCATGTTTCTAGTTCGCCGGTAAATCGACATCCACGAACAGAAATGGAAGATAAAACCGTTTCTCTTGGCCCACTGTGGCTTCATTTTTGCTTCAAAAAGCGACCTGAAGAGTTGTTGGAAAATACTATTGTTGTGTTCAAGTTGTGCTAAAAGGTGTTAGTCTATCAATGAAGCTATTCAAGCATCTTAATGCTAAACATGCAACAGCAGCACAGACATGTCTAAAGAATCTCCATAAATGATCAGGAGTTCCTGAAACACTGGGAACCTGAACTTTGTTCTAATCTAGTAGTTGAAGATCCTGAATAACAGATAAATATCTTTATTGTTGAGCTCAAATGTCTATTTATTCAATCATTTATCTGAAATAATTGGTTTTGAATTGAAATTGTTGCTCATTTTGTCAAAATATTTATCTTTTGAATAAAATGCGATTAATTGTGATTAATTAATTAAAGGACCTCAAGAGGATGAGGCCCTGATGGCGCAGAGCAGCAGCAGCAGGAGGAAGAACAAACCAAGTTAAAATGATGGTGAGACAGTGACACCTAGCGGTGGTTGGAAAATAAAACTTTAAAATGATTAACAGGCGTCCCAGACAGCAGGAAAAAGCTTCGGCTGTTCAGCGGTTTAATCATTATTTCATGACAGCAACATTTTACAGATGGTGGAGGTCTGAACCTGCTTCCAACATTAGTTGCGATGGTGATAGAGACAGGTTGATGAAGCTGAGCTTACCTGTCTCTGTCACCATGAAGTTCCTGCTGCATAGTTCAAACCTTCTGGTCTAAACACCTATCAACATGCATTGTTTTACAGGCCAGCAGGGGGCGGCAGTCTGCAGGTAAAATCAGTATCCTGCTTTACATTCGGAGTCCATGCCTCATCACTCTGTTACCGCGGCAGCAGTAAGGCACTGGGTGGGACAGAAATTTAAATCAAAGTTCAGACTGGTCCATTCTGGAAATTAATGGGGGGGATGCTTGGTCCTGATTGGCTGAGGGAAAAACGATGAGGCTTTGTTTCAGGAGAGAGGAGGCGTGAAGAGTTTATTGTATTCTTCTTCGTACGAGACTCTCTTCAGACGCTCCAGTGACATTAACGTGACGCCTCCCTGCAGGCACATGGAAGAACGACAAGAAACAACACGGAACAGCAGGATACATGTAGCAACAAGAAACATGAAACAAGAAACCGCACGAAGGAACGTGAAAACAAAACATAGCAACATAAAACAACACGGAACCAAGAGATGACTCGGAACAACAGGAAATAATGCAGCACAACAAGAAACATGAAGCAACAATAAGCAAGTTGTAACAGCAAGAAACGGCATGGAAGAAGGTGAAAACAAAACATAGCAACATAAAACAACACAACACCAAGAAACGAAGCAGAACAACAAAAAACACAAAACAAGAAAAATGTGCAACAATGAGAAACACAACATAACAAGGAACACAAAGCAACAAGAAGCACAATAAAAGAAACAGAACATGGAACAACGTGAGAACAAAACATAGCAAGAAACACAAAACCAGAAACATGGCACATAAAAAAACGAGCCGATGACAGCAACACATGGAAGAGCAACACAGAATGGAGGAAAGTAACAACAACGACATCATGAAACATATCGACAGGACATCATCAGAAACATCGGACAAAAGACCAGATTAAAGGCAACATGATAACAAACAGAAGAAAACAAGGAAAAAGGAAAAGAATCAGTTCAAATCTAAATGATCAATTCATGAAAGAAAACATGATTAAAGCTGAAGACTCAAAGGGTCTTGCAGATATGTTGATGTTGATCATCACCATTACTGGATGAACAGAACCTCAGTAATGGATCGTAGTAGTTAGCTGCGCCGGCATGGTGGTTCAGTAGTATTACCACTATCTGACCAGCAGGTGGCAGCAAACATACTGTTCTGCTACGTACCCAGGAGAAGATAGAGAAGAAGCAGAAGATGATGGTCGCCCTGGCGGCGTCGGCGCCTTCATTCAAAGGGTTGTCTTCAGGATTGGAAAACTGCCACTGGTTGGCCAGGAAGCAGAAACCCACAAACCAGATGAGAGACCAGAAAGCTGCGGAAAACAAGCGTGTTGCATTTATAAATGCACACAGAGACATTCGGGGTCTAAAACCGGCCAGGTGGAGTCTCACCTGACACCCCGATGTCCAGCATGACGGCCTTCTTCCTGTCCTTCACCCCACTTATCTGAGGGAAATAAACGTCCAGCGCCAGGAAACCGGCGCTGCAGAGGAAACCCAGAGTTCCCATGGCAATGGCGTAGTTACAGGCGTTCTGGTTGCGGTTGAAGATGCAGTATTCCTCCACCTCATCGGGTCGGTTGACGTAACCTTCATTGGCGACACATCCCAGGATCACAATGGAGAAAAGCTGCAGGCAGGGAGGAGGCAGTTAGCTCCGGTACCAGAACCAGAACTCCCAAATTTAAGAGGACGATGTACCTCCTTATGGTCTGCTGAGGAGGAATTGATTTGATTCAGGTGCAGAGGACAAAGGCTGGGGATAGAGATCCCTGGTTTACGATGTTCTGATGGCAGCGAGGCAAGAGAACCTTCTTCCTTAAAGTGCTTTATGCAACTTTTCTAAAACAAATAATCTGTGAAAAGATCTTCTCGAGCCAATATTGCCATCTGAAGAAATGCATCACTCCGGTCAGAAACAACCAATTAGAACAAGGGGGCGTGTCTTAGTGCTGCCAATCAATGCTGGTAAATGTACAAATGGCAGAGAAACAACTTAACATTCCAGGAAAACCATTTATCCAGAATAGTTTTCTGGAGTCTTCCTCCACCTCATATAAACCTCTGAATAAATGGAAATGGCTAGTTAGCTAGCAACTGCTAGCTAGCTAGCAGCTAGTTAGCTAGTTAGCTAGCATCTGCTAGCTAACTAGCTAATGCCAGACAATCAGACCAAAGCAACACAGAAGAAGAACATTAACGGCACACAGAAGCACATTGTTTACTGAAATAAAAGTGGATCTGCTGTGTATGGGTCCATATTAAAGTTTATTCAGCAGTGAGAGCTGACAGTAAGAAAAAGAAACACAACTAACAGCAACTGCCTTTAATGGAGCCTCGACTGCAGCTTCTGTAGAGAAGTCTGTTTGGATGAGAGTGGTGGGATTGTGATGCGATGCAATTCACTGACACATTTATAATTTCATACAAAGAAAGATTTGAATTGGGTAGCATTCGTCTGCTATGTGAATGTAGCCTAAGAGACTTTTTAATACAAATATAAAGTCATAATATTACAAGAATAAAGTCTTAACATTAGCAGAGCGAGCTTCTTCTTCTCCTGTTATTTTTCCAGACTCCTGCTGTGATCATGTGACCTCAGTCATGTCATCTCTAAATGTAGCGCTCAGAGTCACATGACTCCATCTTTTCAACAAAATCAGATCATTCTTCATCAATGATCTGATTGGGAGTTTCTAACCTGAATCCTCCTCAAAGAACCAACTTATGCAAATATTCCGACATCCGATCAAAGTTCTGGTGTTTATCAGAACCGGGCCGGTCCATCGAAACAGAGAGTCTGAGACAACAAGCTTTTGTTCTAAAAGTCTTGTGCTGAGCCTCAGGAATGTTAAAGCTGGTCTCATGACTGAGTCACACTGACGCTGCAGGAAACCGACCAGCTAACAGAACCACAAAATGGACCTGCAGTCTGCTCTGCAGAACCACAAAATGGACCTGCAGTCTGCTCTGCAGAACCACAACAATCATCCAATCCTGCTGGTTAAAATTAAAATTAGGTTCTCTATCTGAAAGAGATAAATAGTTGGTCTTAGAATCCATCCATCCATCCATCCATCCATCCATCCATCCATCCATCCATCCATCCATCCATCCATCCATCCATCCATCCAACCATCATGCATTGCAATTGCACAAAGATTCAGTTAAACATGTCTGATGTTCTGCAGTCCACTCTTGTTTATAGATGTTTAGAAACTCTTAGCTTTAGTTTGGAGGCAAACCAAACTAAAGGCAAACCGACCAATCAGAGCATGACCTCCCAAGTCTGACCAATGAAATCCCACCAGAACAAGCTGCCCAGTAAACTTGGGAACCAAACCATGGTGAGCCTCACCCAGCAGAGGATCCTGATGACGGTCTGAGGCTGCCTGATGAAGGTCAGGGAATCGAAGGCGCCGCCGGCCTTCCCCGCCCCGTATGCCTGGAACCCGTCCATTCACACCACCTGCTGACCCCAGACCAGCTCACAGCGGTTCAACCGTCCTCCTACAGTCTGTTTGAGAGACTGGTCCCAGTTCACTGCATCAGTTTGGACCAGTTTACCCAGTTGGTGAGGATTTATCTCCTAACTGGTGTTTGTGCTTCTTCCTCTTGTCTGCTGTTATAAACTGCTCAGTAATCTGCTCTAATCCTCCTCATCCTCCCTTCTGGGCTTTACTTCCCTCAGTTCTGTCTGACAGGCTGAGGACTCCAACCAGCTCCACCAATCACACAGGAACAGGCATCATGGGTTCAGGTTGTGGGTACAATCATCCAATCGGACTGAAGGAGGCGGTACTATTGAAAAAGATACATCAACGGTTGGGAAAATATTTTCTAATAGTAATAGAGATAAATCCCATCTAATTTAACACATCAGAAATATGTATTTATTGTACTTTTAATGTGTTTATAGAGAAAACAAGAGTGATGCTGTCTGATAAAACATTCAATCATAAGGCATCAGTTTGGGCTGGCAGCATATTTTAAACACTCAGAGTGGAAATTGTGAATGCCTCAATTGTGTAAAGATTAAGGCATTCTTTACACAATTGTATAAAGATAGCTTAAACTACAAGCAAAAGGATGCCAAACAGAGGTAATAAACCAAGTATGAGAAACTTTGCAAGCACTCTCTATAGGAGGCTGTGTTCATATTTTTGGGGAATTTGTCTGTCAGCTTTCATTCCTCCATGTTGTTCACATTGTTGGGGTCCAGCTGCTCAGGGTGACCCCGCCTCCCACCCGAAATGTCTCACTGAAGATACCAGCAGCCCTCCTGACCCCTGACCCCTCCTGACCCCTGACCCCAGGAGGGCTGCTGACCATTCATGTCGATCAATGTGAACATGTGATCGACGTTCACATTCTGACTTCCAGTGCATTCTAAAAATGTCCAAAAATAATAATTCCCTATAAAACTTGAAGTCATCATTACAAATACAAACAGGTTGTGAGAATCCGTCAATTTCATGCATTTATTATATTGCCTCAAATGCAATGAAGAAATTAAGTCTTAAAAATTATAAAATGGATGCATGCAAAGTAAAATATGTTTATTATGTAATATTTTGAGAATAAACAGTATCTGTGTGTTTAGTTTGTAACTTGAACATGTTTAATGTGGACCATTAATGTTGGATATTAGCACTAGCACACTAAAAATACATGTAAGATAGAAGATATCAGCCTTTATTTCATGTTGTGACTGAAGAAGAAGGAAGAAAGTATAATATGATGAATGGCCATGGAAACGAAGCGTGAACCTCCAATCTGAGAGCTTCTGATCGGAGGATCTCGATTATTTAGAGCTGATCGTTTAAAGGAACAGTAAGTTGCTGCGCTTCAGGCAAAGACGCATCACTCAGTCACGTGACTCTCCTCAACCAGTTGCTGCTCTCCATTGTTGTCACCATCATCATCATCAGTGGGGGGTCTGGTGCGTCTGAAGAAGCCCAGCTACACACACACACACACACACGCACACACACACACACACACACACACACACACACACACACACACATGCACACAAAGATGGAGGAAGCTTTAATAAGACAGAGGGGTGTGAACTCGTCATGTGGAGAAAAGCTTAAACTTCAACTCCATCAAGTTCTGCACCAAAACCTTCAGGTTGAACAGAAGGTCAAAGGTCAGAGCAACAGCCATACTGAGATCAAACCAAAACGTCACTGATTCAACCAGAAACTCATTAATTAAGGCAAAAACAGACAGACCAACCGATTGATTGATTGATTGACTGATTGATACCTTCCAGAAGATGAAGCAGAGCAGGCAGAGGAGGAGGAATCCACAGATGATTGACAAGATGATGTAGCCAATAGGAACGGGTTTCTCCCCATCAGGAGGGCGCCACACCACACTGAGCTGAGCCTGCACACACACACACACACACACACACACACACACACACACACACACACACACACACACACACACACACACACACACACACACACACACACACGCACGCACGCACGCATGCACACACACACTTCTGAGTTCTGCTGGGTAGTATTTATTGATTTAATGGTTATTGATTACCTGTGTTTGTCCACTTGTAAGCAGCAGTGGCTGGACCTTTGATGGTGCGCTGATTGCATCATAAGAGGCAGAAGAAATGAGGTCATAGTTGAGGTAGGAGGTCTGAAGGACAAAACATAAAATGACAACAGAACCCTCACCTGTGTGCGTGTGTATGCGTGTGTGTGTGTGTGTGTGTGTGCGTGCATGCGTGTGTGTGTGTGCGTGTGTGTGTCTTCAGACATACCTGTGTGAGTGTGTGCAAATTAAGCCGAGCTGAGATTTTTACCACGGCGCTAAAGCCCCGCCCCAAATCCATGACATCACACTCAAACCGGACACACCCTGTCTCACTGTTGCTGCAGTTCTGAAACAAACGTAACTCAGCCTCAGATCAGAGAAACACACACCTGTAATATTTCTCAGTGACCTGAAGGTGTGCAGAGGAAGGAGTTATTACAGATTAGTGACTTTCATAAAGCGACCATTCAGGAATATAACTGTTTTTACCACATTGACGGTTTGTCCAAGTGAGTTTGTCTCCTCCTGCTGGATGGGCTGAGAAACTACAGCAAGACTGGAGTTACCTACGAGCTGCAGACAGATGAGACAGGTGAGCTATAGACAGGTGAGGGTTAAGTTCCATGAATGAAAAGAAACATGATGTTGTTTTACCTCTAAAGACATCACTTCTGATGTGTTCAGTGTCTGACAACTCAAGGACTCTTCTGACGGGGTGGATATGACATAAAACAGGAAGTGATGTCGCCAGGTAGAAGGGAAGTCCACGGTCAGTCGAGCGTTGACAGAACTGGGACCCTGATTCCTGATCTACAAACCGGAATCATCAATGACATCAATGTCAGATGATGAACAGCATGTTGGCTTTCAGCAGATGGTGACTGGAGCTTCAGATCCACCAGAACCTGGATTTCCAGTCCATAGCAGCAAACCAGCAGAGCTCCTACTGCTCTACCTCATGTTCAGGTCCAGTCTGTCCTAAAGCCTCCACAGTTAAGTCAAAGCAACATCAAGCAGTGGGTTGTCAACAAGATATGTCAGAAATGTTTATCTGACGTCTATAACCAGGAGTGATTCTCTGAACTGGATAACCTCCCACCAAATCAGTTTCATGAGCTGGGTCTAATGCTGGTCTTGTTTTTTTCCCCAAGTCCTGCTCATATACCTCATTACCAGACGTTAACCTCACCTCATACACATGCTCCATCAGTGGCCCAACTTCCTCCAGACTTCCAGGGTTACCTACAGGCTGCCAGTCCGGGTGGGGCAAGAGGACGTCCGGAGGGATAGATCCCCTGCAGAGACACCAAAACCTGCAGTCAATCTGTGTATCTGGTTTAAAACCCAGAAAAGTTTTGAGTTATACCCTCTGATCTCCAGCGTGGCTTCGGCCTTCACCTGAACCTTCACTGTCACACGGTTACTGCTGGAGTTCACAGAGTTCTTACTGGTACAGAAAGGTGGACAGAGAGTGAGACAAAGGGATATGAGCTTTTGGCAGTAAACCCAGGATACCAGGCAGAGTTTGCACCTTCGTATTCTTAGGCGGAAGGTGATGTGACTGTCCACCTCCTCCAGGTTGCCGACGCTGAAGAGGAGACCGGTCTGGACCTGCAGGTAAAGAAGCAATAATCACTAAAGGATAGTTCTACGCTGACGAGTTCCTCATATAGGGCTTGGTTTGACTCCAATCCCAATAGACTGAAGATTAGACTCTGCTTAGCATCATGAGTGCTACAGTGCTTTGGAGATTCACTCACTTTCTGTCTGTGTTTCATTGGATTCCCGAGGTCACATGTGACAACAGCCGTCAGGTTTTCTTTCCTTTGAACACACACCAGTCGGTTTTCGCCCTACAAATAAAAAACCGACAAGACTGTTCTTATTGGCTGTTTAAGCAGTTCATTTTTATCAGCGTGTGTGAGAACATCTCACCTGACAGCTCTGGAAGTGTGTGTGTTCAGGGAGTTGGACCACCAGCTCAGTCTCATATGCACCCTCGCCATCATTTGTAGCTGACACCAACAACAACAGGGACTGATCATCTCCGATCAACACACTGTCTGATGCACTAACATCACACATCATGAGACACACAAAACAATATGTCAGCACTTCAGTCCATTAACCACTATGCAAAAATTCATCATTTAAATCAGGGATGCATTTATATGCTGATGATATAGTTATTTCTGTAGCAATTTTGTCTTTGTGTCTCAGTATTTTGAAAGCTTTCTTCCAATTACTGAAATTCTTGGTGGATTTCCTCATCAATGTCATCATGTTGACTCACGGTTCAACGCTCAGCTTCAGGTCAGGAATGCAAACATTATCATCCCCGCAGTCCAGAATCAAACGGCTCTATAAGACACACAGATACTCTGATTATCTTTTTGTTCACAGAAACGCTGGTCCTGGGTTCATTTCCTCCTCTGGTAGGAAGTAGGCTGGCTTACCTGGACTGTTGAGTGTGTCTGACCATGCAGCAGAGCATTCTGGGTAGAGATGTGGAGGCTGATCTCAGCAGTGATGAAGATCGGACTCAGTTTATCCCGAACTTCGTCTTCAGACTAAACGCACAAACAGAACAGCGTAAAGCCACATTACTATCAAACCTCAACCATGTCTCCACAATGTGACAATTCAAAGAGTTCAAGTCTACATCATTAATCCCACCTACAGCAGATACAGGTGGGACTGTATCAGTTTGTCCACTCACCCTCAGGTATGCTGTGTGATTGGTACAGGCCAAGCCCACCTGCCTCTCAACAACCAGCTCCATTGACGTCTGAGGCTGATTGTTTGACAGCAGCAGAGTTCTTCGTGCCATTGGCTGCTTCATCGTGTCCAGGTGTAGCTCCACCCTTAGAGCTGCCACCACAGCCAGCAGACAGAATTAGATTACTGACATTAACGTATTCTGAAATACCCCTAAAGACACCTTTACCTGTCTGCTGAGGGATTCTGTGACCAGAGACATGGACGCACATTTGGACAGCAAAACTGAGGAGATATACCAACAAAAATGCAGATAGATTTATCAGGTATTTAGTCCCTGCAAAAATAGAATAATATTCTGATGTTTAATGATATGCAGATGACATATGACTTTATATTGAAGCTCATTTTA